TTTTCCGCTGGGACTCTCCACTTGGAGTGCAACGGCTCGGGTTAGATCCTTGGACAGCCGCGACAACCTTGCTTCTGCGGTGTGCAGCTCCGGGATGCTGCTCGGAAGCTCGTCGGGAAAGCTAGCGGCCTGACGCGACGAGGCGAGCCGACCGCCTAGGTGATAGAGTCTTAAGACCGACGGCCGTGGCGCAAATGAGGCTTCAGAGGTTGATTGAGGCTCATCAGATAAGCTGGGGTGAAAATCAGATGAGAATCAGCCTTACGACCCCGGATGAAGGTGTAACTTTGATTTGGATGCGAAATAGGCAGTGTGATATTGCTTGAGAGCCGGCACTTCTGAAAGCGATGTTGAACCCATGTGTCCCTCAAATGAGCCAATCAGCGTGTAGAATGACAGCCATCATTCGGGAATTCGGTCCGCTCGAGAGCTGCTCGCTGGCAACTTTTCCGAGCTCGACCAGGAGGCGATATCCTCACGGGTAAAGGCTTTCCCAACTTGTTTTCATGCTGGAATTCTAAGGAAGCTTTCCAAGACCACTTTCAATGAGCTGGACATACGTTCTCAACCCCGAAGGGTGACTATTATTCGTGACGAATGCTGGTGGACGCAGGTCGAGGGCATCACATGTCGACGTCGCTTTTTGAGCGTTTGTCGATCGACGTTGCATACTCATCCCAGCCTAACACATGTTCATGTGCCATTGAGAACCTGGTCGTAGATCCCGTCCTGCATTGCAGCCTGTGTACAAGATCAGTGGCTACATTGGCCACGTTTCTGGTTCGTACATGACTTCAAACCCAGTAAGCGACAGGCTTTGACTCCATTCTCGTGGGGGTCAGATTCGAGTCCTCGGTAATATTGACGTTACCCCTCATCTGAGATCGAAAAACAAGTTGCATATGCCTGGAAGTAGGTTCGGGCCGCAGTAGTTGCCGTACGTTCAAGGTGCCTTGCACCAAGGGCCCGACAAGGAATGGACATGATGGACTCATTGTATGCCGGTCATCTAGCATTGTCACATTCCGTCCAGATGTCACATTCGGTATCGATCACGCCTGGCATGTGGTTTCGGTCATGATTCACTTGCCATGCCTGCAAATCCGGCATCCTGGTCCTCGGTCTTGCCCCCTCCTCGGGACTTTTGTCTCATCAATCATTCGCACAAAACATCACAGATGTCGTGCTTAGCTAGTTCCAAAATAATCCCCTCAGTTTATCTTGGCTCTTCCACCTGGATGGTTCCGGTGGGATGAAGTTGCGCCGCTAAGTACTGGAGACGGGCTTGAGTCCCACTACTCCGGAGCATTACCGGAATAGGAAATTTGTCTTCCCCGGAGCTGTCGTTCTCGAACCATAAACGTAGAAGGAAGAAGTGGGACCGTCGTAGTAGCCTAAAATAGTGGAATGAGAGAAGTGAGTTGGCCGACTGCAATGCTCAAGCGTGTCTAGTGAACGCCAATTTCTAATGATGGGGGTATTCCTATCTAATGTACAAAGGTAAAACCAATGGTTCCAAATGCTGGACAACGTCTCGGTGGCTCATCTAAAGGTCTCTAGACGGCATTCTCCTTCTCTTTGGGAGTCTGTGTGTCTCGTTCTCTGCTTTCTTCCCCGTTCTTTTCCGAAGCCATCGATCTTGCGGAAAGGAATAGGGGCGGTACAGAGAAGGCAAGCATGGCAGCCGCGAAGACAGTCACCGCGATCAATTGCAGGCGATACACATCGTTGTAAGTCTTGCGGACCATCAAGGCGACAGGTTTCTCTAGCAGGGGCAACACCGTTGTGGGCGAAGCTAGAAGTGACCTCATTACATCCTCCGGCAGCGAATCCAGTCGTTTCGGCATCTCGCTATGCAAGATTGCTGAGCAGACCGAGATTGCGATGCAGCCTCCCATTGTACGGATGGTGTTGTAGGCGCCCATCATGGCGGCTGCGCAGAAGCGTGAGTTAGGAGGGACAGGTTAACGGTGCGACAGGAATCGACTCACCATTGTCTCGGTCTTCGACCTCTACTCTCCCCATCACCATGAGTATGGGCACCGCAGTCCCCATTCCGACGCCGATGATAACTTCGTAACCGTAGTATCTGTCTAGGACCTTTTCGCTGAACGGGATCTCGACAAGGAGGCCCACACCCAGGACGACGAGAATAGTACTAATGGTGATGGTGTACCAGCCGTAGCGAGTCGTCCTGGACAGTGCTATCCCCGAAAACATGGAACAGAAGGATGACACCAGCAGAAGAGGCAGTAATCGAATACCGGCCATCGTGGCTGAGTTCAGATGAACAAGCTGGTTTAGTTGCGGGAGAACGATCACGACCGCATAAAATACGGCGCCTTGGAAAAAGGAAGTGCTGCGTCTTTGTCAGGAACTTTTCTCGCGTGCCAGGTGAGGGGGGACTCGGAACAAGAATCGTACAGCAATAGGAAAGTCACCCTCGGTATCTTGAAGAGACGGAAAGGCATAACCGGCTCGATGACGGCTGATGAATGGCGCTGAATGAACCATTCGTAGAGGAAGAAAAGCACGACGGCAACACCGCCTGCCACGATAGTCCCAACGATTCTGGAGTCGCTCCATGGGTGCTCTGCGCCTCCAGTTTGAAGTCCGTACAGCAACAAGACAGCCGATCCGATGGACAGCAGCGACCCGATGAAGTCTATGCGTTTGAAGACGGACTTACCAAAGTCCATGTTATCTTTGGGGAACGACCAGACGAGGACGGCGCCAGCAATTCCTGCTGCGGGCACACTTTGGATATGCGTTGGTAAGAGTCTCAAAGTCATTGAGTACTAGGTATCATGACTTACTTGAGGAGAAAGATCCATTTCCAGTCCCCAGTGTCGCTGATCACTCCGCCTAGAATCGGGCCGAGGATGCTTGCGATGGCAAATACCGAGCTCACTGCTGCTGAATACGGTCCCAACCATCGAGCAGGGCAGATGTCGATTACGGAGACGAAAACGACGGAGAATATGCCGGAACCGCCTATTCCCTGAAGAGCGCGAAAGACGATTCTGTGAAACATTGGTGAGTATTAGAGAGCAAGGCATGGCAACGAGGCGTAGACTTACAAATGCGTCAAGGTCATGGATTGAGCTGCGGCGCAAAGTCCCGAGAAAAGGGCAAACCATGCCAGGGCGAATAGAAGAATGTTTCTTTGGCCAAATATGTCGGTCAACTTGGAATAGGTAAGAATGAAGCCTAAGCCAAATGTCAACTGGTCTGTTCGACAGAAGGTTCGATCAGGTAGGCACCTACCGCTATTGGTAACCAAGAAGGCCGTTACCACCCAGCCAACTTTGTTGTAGTCATTGAAGTGAGTACCGATCGTGGTAAGAGCCGTGGCGATGATGGTAGTCTCTAATGCGGACAGGAACAGGGCTAGTGCCAGGCTGCAGAACCCATGTCATTCCCCATGTTGAGGTAAAGTTGAGCGAGATGGACTCATGCCAAGCAGACTTACCCTAGCATGCAGATGTGAAGTCTCCAGCCGTAGATCGCGCGGGCGGGGTCTTGGAGCTTATGCCCGATCGTCGTAGTGTTCTTGCCTGCAGCGGACGGCTGCGACTCGCCATTTTTGGTATCCATCGTGAACTTGGAGATGAGATATCAGACACTCCAGTATTCCAATGAATGATTCGACAAACAGCAAGTGCAAGACATCGATTAACCCGGGACTGAAGATCTAAATAGGCTCCCGTGTCGCGCAAGGAACTTTGGCTGCCATTGGATGTATGTCAGATTGCCGGTAAGCCGGCGCGGCGGGTTTCCCACCAAACTCACCGAATGGGTGCATCTGCGTGCGTAAGAACCTATTCCGGTGGGCGAAATCTAACCCGGCTCCGAAGACGCCCGATGGAAATTAGTCGCCGCCGCACTCCACACGTAAGGCTTCGTCAATCGGGATAATGCGCGGCTGACAGTGGTCTTATACCAAGCGAAAGGATCTTGTGCCCGGATCAGATCATACGGGCAGCTGGCCCCCGCAGATTGGGAATTCTTCCGGCAAGTATTGAATTCAGGCGTCATTTGCACACTTTGTTATTTGGTAAAACCACGAAAGAAGCCCCATTTACCTACTACTAAAACTTACAGAGCGGTAGGGCTAGGCATATCCCGCCATTGACATAACCATAAACATTATTGAGGATGCATTTGAACACGTGAGATGTGAAAGGAACTGGCTACCCATCTTCACCGAAATTTTAATCCGTAGACACGCTCACCTCGCCACCCGGCCCAGCACAAGGCACCAAGCAACGATACCCAACATACCCCATTGCGGCAAAAGAGGCTTCCCATCCCGTACCGCCAACATCGTGCCTCGTGTTACAATAGCCCCATTAATCAGCAAAGCCGCTTCCCTCGTCGCCGGAACCAACACGGCGGTACCCACCGCGATCCGCAGCACGGCGCCGGCGTACCCGGCCTGAGTGGAGTCGAGCCGGCCTCCGGAGAGCTCGGATATCCACCTGTTCATGCCGGCGTAGTAATCCGCCGCGCGCTGGTTCGGGAAAGGGATGACAACGAAGGGAAGTGCCGAGAGGATGCACATGGCTCCGAAGGACCAGTTGGAGAGGTTGGCAATCGCTCGGATGCTCATGGTGTCGGTCCGAATGAACCTATTTGTTGGGTTTGTGGCTTGAGCGACTGCTTTCGGGCTGCGGAGATTTTGACAGCGGATTCGGTCCGTGGTTGACAGGAACAGGATGATAACTCCATGTTTTCTTGGCGAGCAGCTGGGCCGACGCATCTTTTCAACGGCCCCTCGGGAGATGTGGCTGCTGACGTCAACGTCAGCACTACCCCTAACCAGCCCCCAAACGAACGCGATGGATTACGGGGGCGTGTCCGAGCCGCGCCGCGCCGCTTCGGAATGGCACAGCCGAAAAGCTTATGGGATTGGGGCAATCACGGCATGTCTTTACTATCTGGTCTTCCACAAAAATCAATTCGTTTGCGATCATGGTATGATCGGTATGCTACTGGATCTACTCGACCTGCTCTCCCGCCTCCAGCAATCCGCCGTTTCTAGCCGGTCTGACGGCTCCGAACCCCGCCTCATTTCGGGCGATGGGATGGCCTGCATGTAGAAGTCAGGCTGGCGTGCGTAGCTACTCGAGCCGGTCACGCGGGAGTCGTGACCTCGTTGGTAGTCTTTGAGGAGTGCGTAGAAGAACGCGGTGTTTGCGACGATGCAAGCGCAGAGTATCTCGATGGATGCCCACTAGGATAGGTTAGTGTCTGGTTCGTCTTTGAAGCCTCGTGGAAGAAACTCACCATGGAGCGAGACCTCTGCGATACTGCCTGGTTCAGTATCATGGGCAGTCGCATGATGGTAATTACTACAATGAGACCAGCAATGCTGAAGAGGAGAATGAGTTGCGCTTTTCTGCTGGATGTCAGTGACGAACCCTTTCACGAGGCGGCTGTCGGTAGTGACTTACACTTTTCCGTCAAGCTTGACGTGACGAAGGATGGGAAACGGGAAAATGATGAGGGCGATATCGGTTACAATGTTAAAAACGGCCATGGTGACGAGATTGCCGACCGCTCGGTGGCAGGAGTATTGACCGGTCGGGTCAGGAAGCCACATCCTAGCAAATATTAGCCCAACCCGAGCCTTGGGGATGGAAGAAGATCATCGACTTACAAAGACAGTGGCCGACATTCGGCTAGAGTGGGTATCAAGACAATAAAGAAAGTGACGACAATGAACCACCAGAGCGCAGTAGTGGCGACCTTCCCCCAATGGAAGACATCGACGAAACGGGAATAGAAGTTGAGCAGGCACAACTTCAGAGACCACAAACTAGAAGGCAAGACGAAGAGCTGAGTCAGACGTGCATTTAATATTGAGGATCGTCTCACCGCTAGGTTGCCTCGCAGGGCTGGATCGGCATGCGAGTGAGACCTGGGGGCGGCATGTAAGCGAACTTACAACATGGCATAGAATATTCGTGGCGGGATCAGCAGCTTCCGGGAGGCGACATAGTTCTCCTCAAGCTGCGCGATGGAGACGCCCTGCGCGGCGGCGTCTTCTGGCGTTGGTAGACCAAAGGTGTGTGTCGGGTTGAGGACGAAGGAGATTGCGATGCAGGTAGTGCGGCCGATGAGAGGCACTATGGCGAAGGCCATGTAAGCGTCGTCGGCGTGCCATGTCCGATGGCACGAGTCGTGAACCCTGCAGCGCGAGAAGATGCGGTAGCCGCAGCGGACGAGGATGAGAGCCGCGCATATGCTGGCGGTGACGATATCGAAGGTTACGTCTACTGACATGATCATGATCTCGTTGTCGCTGTCGTCGTCGTCGTTTGCACGGTATGCGTCGTCGGTGAGGGTGATGTTCGTAGCTGCTCGGCGGCAATGGCAACCATGGCGTGTTATGCCGCGGCCGACATGGTGATATGTAGTCTGAGTGCTCGTTCGAGGTACTCCCGTCCGGCCTGCTCGAAGGTCTTTGAGCTCCCGGTTGCTGCTTGGACGAAAACGGCGAAGGGTCTTCGGAATCGGTGCTAGAAATAAATAGTTTCGATGCTTCGACGTTGAGGCCGTGTTTCAAGTCGGGTTGTGGGGAAAGAGATCAAGGGAGACGGACAGGATGGGACGAACGTGACAGGCAAGGACTGGATTCTTAAGAGCAAAAAGGGACGCTGCGCAATATTGGGGTTACGCAAAAGCGAAGGGCACAGAAAAGGGAAAGGATCAAAGGGGATGGCAGACGGGTAGTCTGAGTCAGCTACGGCATACCACCAACACACCCCCAGCCATTTGCCAAGCTGCCTTTATGCTAGTCTCGTGTCTTTCGAGTCCGTCGCACGCGGGGGCGGTAATGAAGGGCGGGAAGATGTAAGGAGGACAGCTGGAAGGATGGATGGGATATGATGGGTGGACGAGAGGGCGAGGCTTTCTTTTTGCTGCCGCCGCTGATGGGAGACTGGCACACATTTCAGCTGAGAGAGAGCAGAAACGGACCGGCGGTTTCTGGATGGACATGGATCCCGCGAGGGTTGCCAAGGTGCATGCAGCTAAACTCTGGAAAAGGTCATTGATGATCCGGGACTGCGGTCAAGGTACGGTGTGATTCGCGCGATGGCCCGGGGGAACGGTAGCGCAAGCTCTTCTCCCAGTCGTTGGCCTGCCGCCTACGAGCTCTTCTCGGGTTGTCGGGTCCTCAAGCTGGTCAATGGTCCAATTTCCCCGCATGGAGTCGCCCGGGGGTACCCATGACGCCAAGCAATGTTCATAGTGATCTCTCGTAACGGAATGGCGGATGTTGTGCTGAAGACTTTGCTTGCTCCCCGGTGCCTGGCGCCAGAGAATTATGATTCATGAAAATCTGGAGAGTGTAAACAAACGCGACGTTGTGAGCTCTGAGTAGTGTTCTGGTGTCTTCACGCATGTCACGGATAAGACGGAGCAACATGAATGCCCAAGACCCCATTGATCGCCAGCCATAACAGAACCCGATCAAAGTACAACACAATGGTGGCGCTGGCACTTGGCTGGCACAACGGCTTCCCGGGGAACAATCGAGACGGACTCGCGCCCCTTCCGCGCCTCTCGCTTCCCAAGAACGGCTTCTGTCTCTTTGAGTTCGGCCTAAACCCGACCCCGGGAGGCTGGCTCGCGCGCTTGTCAGTTCCGTCCCAAACTTTGGTCCCAGCTGTCTCCATTGCATCCTAGCGCTCCATCGACATTTGCGCCTTACCATCGGATGACAGGACTCTGTTACTGGCAGGACTGGTCCAGGCACCAAATGTTTCCCCAGCTCGCCGTTCTAGGCCCGTAGGCCTTTATGATCCAGCAAGGGTTGATGACAGATTCATCGGCGGCCTTTGCTTCAGCGACTCCGCCCGTCTCCGCATGCCGCCTGTTCCCCGAAAGAGCGCACGACCTTAACTAAACCCCCTTGGGCCGCCAGGATCCCTGAGGGCTTCAATCAATCAGGGCTGATGTTGCATCGCCTGCGAAAGAGCTGGGGTTGCACTGGACAACGCAACCCTGGCAGGCAGTTGGCGGATTGCGCCTCTAATGACGATGATCTGCACGCAAAATTACGTGCACTCGTCAGGTTGCCTGCCCGTCGCTGTCTTTGAGATTGTTGGATCTGCTCTGCGCCGTGTCGCTCTTTGTCCGAATGAAGGGCGGACGCGCTGGGTTTCCGTCGTCCGCTTCGCGACCGCAATGTGCCCTTCATTCGATCCTCGCTTGCCCTGTCTCACGGCTGTGCCACCGTCTGTGTTCCACTGCATGTTCAATATTATGTGATGCTGGGGGCGCATTCAGTCGAACTCGGACAGCTCCTTCACTGCTACAATGCGGGTGCCACGGCATTTGGAACGCCTTGTATTGAAAACGGCCAAGACGGCTGCTGGACTCAGTCACCCCAGACGCCATGTCTACGCCACTCCTCGTTGCTAGGCTGGAAGAGAGCTTGAGATGTCTTTCAGCCACAGTATACCGCCTTTTCCGGTCGGAGTCCGCGGCTTTGAGATGAGGCCCTTTTCAACTTGATCCTCTTGGTGATTGATCAATCATTTCCAGATGAACCGATCGCGAAACAGGTTTTGAAAGCTTCCTCAGATGTGCGGCAAGCGATGATAGACAAAACGATGGTCAACTTAATCATTTGTGCAATCATAACGCACACATCGTTGGAGAACAATCTCATTTTGCCTTGAATTATGTTTTTGTAAAGACACATGCTCTTGGCAGGCGACCCATCAGCGGCATACTGACTCACTTCTTTCTCACAGGAGATCTCTGAAAGAAATTCGAAGTCGCATATCAAGGAGTCAGTTATCCATACGGAAGTCTGCGCTGACGGAGGTCAGTTAGGTATATGAAGCATCATCACGGCACTTCTAGTGTGAGCGTTCGATTGAAGACCAAAGACTCGGAAGACCAAAACCCTAATGAAGCCTCGACCAACAGAGAAAGAACGGAGATTGGTAGGTTTTAAGCTGTCTCATTTTGACGTTGCCCATCTAGACCGGTTGAAGTACCCGCAGTTGCTTCCATCATCGGACGGCCCGGTTATAAGACGGGGAACATCTGCAACAATGACTCTGAAACTCTGTTCTCACAGCGCAACCGAGTCAGTTTGTCATGAGAAACAATGTTAGGCATGGTTCATCATTTCCGAGAAACCATGTTGCCGAAACCGAGTCACCGGGACCAGGTCCGTGGGGTTGGGTATCATTTTCCGTTCGGGGTCGCGACCTTCCCCGGACCATGACCCGCGACGCGGGGAAGCCCCCACAACTAGTCTCAGAAAACTCCGGAGAGACTACGGAGGCGACCAAGAGGCTCTGCTTTGTTTGTGAATAGACAGTTCGGCTAGCCTGGGCTAATGGACTCCGGCAAGTTGGGTTATGGAAAGATACTTATAGCCTATGGGGTCCAACATAGGTCGAGCCCAGGGTGTTCTTGAAATGGGCACTTGGTTTCTTGCAAACATCCAGTATTCTGCTTGTTACGATCACATCTACCGGAAATCACAATGCCGTCCGTAAAAAGAGCAATTCGGATCGCCGGGTCCTCTGGCGGCTTCTCCGACCGGCAGCGCGCCATCGGCGACCTCGCCAAGAACTGCGACATCGACTGCATCATCGGCGACTGGTTGTCAGAGTGTACCATGGCACTCCATGGAGCCCAAAAGACTGAGAATCAACGACTGAAGCAGGCCGGACAGCTGGCAGCGGATACCGTCGGCCTCTTCGACCCCACGTTCATGGAGAATCTCTCGCCGGCGCTGTCGTACATGCAAAAGAAGAACATCAAGATGGCTGTCAACGCCGGCGCCAGTGACACCGAGTTGCTCGCGGGGTTGGTTGAGGAAGAGATCAAGAAGCAGGGGCTGGACTTGAAGGTCGGCTGGGTCAGTGGCGACGAAGTCACCGAGACGGTGAAGAGACTCCATGCTGAGGGTGAGGTTTTCACGAGCTTGATGAACGGGCAGCCGTTGAAGGATTGGGGGTTCGATGACATTCTTGCTGCACAGTAAGACGAACACCTCCATTACCAAGAGGATCGTGATATACTGACAAGCTGTAGATGTTACCTCGGCGGCGCTGGCATCGCTGAAGCTCTCCGTCAGGGGTGTGACATTGTCATCGCTGGCCGTGTTGCCGACGCAGCCCCGACAATCGGCGCGTCAATGTGGTGGCACGGCTGGGATCGCGAGACCGACCTCGACCAAATTGCTGGCTCACTAGTCTGTGGCCATTTGATCGAGTGCTCTGCGTACGTCTGCGGTGGATACTACTCCGGCTTCAAGGCATTGATGGACAAGTGTGAGAACATTGGGTTCCCCATCGCCGAAGTCGAGGCCGACGGCAGCTGCGTCATCACCAAGGAGCCTGGAACTGGAGGTGAAGTGTCCGTTGGAACAGTCAGCTCGCAGCTGCTGTATGAAATCCAAGGACCCCTTTACTATGGCTCCGATGTCACTGCCAACCTCGAGGGTGTGGTGATGACCCAGGTTGGCCCGGATCGGGTGCAAGTCACCGGCGTCAAGGGCCTTCCGGCGCCGTCGACGACGAAAGTTGGATTGACTGCTTTTGGTGGATACCAAGCGGAGTTTCACTACTACATTGTCGGCCTCGATCTTGAAGCCAAGGCCGAGTGGACGGAGCGGCAGATTCGCCACTCCATCGGCGATGCCATCAAGGACCTGTCCTGCCTCAAATTTACCCTGAACGGCGACTGCCCAGAGAATCCCCGTAACCAAGAAGTGGCAACCGTCGACTTTCGGATATTCGTTCAGACAAAGCGCAAGGCACTGGTTGACAAGTTCACCCTTGACGTCCCTGGTTTCAACCGCTGGTGCATGGAGAATTTCCTGCAAAGCTGCCCCGGAGCGACTTTGGGCAATGATCAGAGGCAATCGGAAGGGAAGCCCTTCTTCGAATATTACGTCACCCTGTTGCCGCAGTCTGAGGTGAAGCATCGCGTCGAGATGCCGTGGGCTGGCAAGTCGATCGATATCTCAGTGCAGAAGAACGTCCGGACAGACTACCCACGCGACCAGAACAGCTACGAGACGAGCAACCCTGTAGACCTCGACAACTTTGGTCCCACGACGAGGGGCCCGCTTGGATGGATTGTCGGTGGCCGATCGGGCGACAAAGCGAGCGACGCCAATGTTGGGTTCTACGTCCGACATGCTGATGAGTGGGACTGGCTGCGGAGTGTGTTAACGACCGAAAAGATCAAACAGTTGCTGGAAGGCAGTGATAAAGGGAAGAATGTTGAGAGGTTTGAGATCCCGGGCA